TGTAGCATTCGCTGAAGCATTTTCCTCTTTCATTATGCAGGCTCTGTGCAATATATTTTTGCTATAAAAATATCACAGTAAACCCTGGAGGTCAGCCATTCCCCTCCCGTATACTGTTTGTGCACATTTTGTCTATTTTTAGTGTAAGTCATTAAAAAGAAGCTGGTGTGATACTTTGCCCCCATATACACCTTTACTTCCCCGGCTAGATGTGGTGCCCTCCCCCCACACACACCTTTACCTCCCTGGCTAGATGTGGTTTTTATGGTAGCTGTCAGCCGCAGACCTCTTTCCTCGCAATAAACTTAAATACCTCGTAGGCTTTTTAACGGCTGTGTCATATTTTATACTATAGAGGCAGGGGAAGAGGAAGAATGGTTTGGTAAGCAATTCTGTTTGGGGTCTTGTATTTAAAATGCAGTTGTCCTGGTGGCACTGTGGGCTAGGCCTTGGCCTGGCAGTTCAAACTCATCCAGCGCTGCTTGAGAGAAAGATGAGACCTTCTGCACCTGGGTAGATTTATAGTCTTGGGAAACCTTATGTAGGAATCTTCTCAGTGGTGGTGGGTTTAGGTTAGGGTTCGTCATCCCTGTAGACCATCCAGGGCCAGCTCCTCCGTCCTCCTGCTCTACTGCCCCTGGTCACCTCTTTCCCTCCTTGCTCAGTGGAATGGCAGAGGGTGGGCAGCCTCCGTACTCTAGGCCTCCAGGAGTTGGCAAATGCATGTTGGAATCTTTCCAAAAATGGATGCAGCGCTGGGGGTGCTCACTTGTCTGTGCCAAGAAATTTGCCGACTCATTGGCAAAAATCCATACTTGTGCCCATTCCAAAGGGAGTTGTCCCAACGGAATGTGGAAATCATCGAATAATGCCATTTTTATGACATGCAAGTAAAATTTTTCTGAAACTAATTAGCAAATGGTTGCAACAGTACATCAGCAGGGAGCTGCCAGAAATGCAAGTTGGAAACACAGGAGGCTCTACATGAGGACTATCATTGCTGGCTGAAAGCAGAGGACACTTCTGCTTTATTGACAATGCAAAGACTTCCGACTCTGTGGATCATGACAAGTTACGGATTACATTGTAAAGAATGGGTACTCTACAACACTTAATTGTGTTTATAAGGAGCCTGTTTATAGACCAAGAGGCAGATAGTCCAACAGAACAAGGAGATACTGAATGGTTTAAAAGCAGGAAAGATATGCGCCAGGGCTGTATTCTTTCACCGTCTTTTACTCAGTCTGTATGCTGAGCAAACCATCTGAGAAGCTGCATTATATGAAGAAGAATGTGTTTTCAGGGTTGGAGGAAGACTCATTAACAACCAATAATATGCAGATGACACAACCTTGATTGCTGAAAGTGAAGAGGACTTAAAATACTTACTGATGAAGATCAAAGACTTTAGTCTTCAGGATGGACTGGGCTTCAGGGTAAAGACACTCAAATCCTCATCTCTGGACCAATAAGTAACATCATGGCAAATGGAGAAAAGATTAAAGTTGTCAAAGACTTGGTTTTGCTTCATCAACAGTCAACACTCATGGAAGCAACAGTCAAGAAATCAAACCACGTATTATTGCATTAGGTAGATCTGCTGCACAAGACCTCTGTAAAGTGTTCAAGAACAAAGGTGCACCTGACCCAAGTCATAGTGTTTTCAGTAGCCCTATATACATAGGAGAGTTGGCATTGAACAAGGAAGACTGTAGAATTGATGCATTTGAGTTATGGTGTTGGAGAAGAATATTAAAAGAACCATGGACTGCCAGAATAACAAACAAATCTGTGTTGGAAGAAGGACAGTCAGAATGCTCCCTAGAAGCCAAGATGACCAGACTTCACTTCATCTCTCGTACTGTAGACAAGTGGTCAGGAGGGACCAGTGCCTGGAGAATTACATCATGCTTGGTAAAGTGGAGGGTCCGCATAAAAGAGAAAGACCCCCGATGAGATGGATTGATACAGTGGGAGCAGCAGTGGTCTGGAACGTAACAAGTGTGAGGAAGGTGCAGGACTGGGTGCTGTTTGGGTCTGGTGTGCACGGGGGTCTCTCTGAGTCAGAAGTGACTCAGCAGCACTGGAGACCGAGAAACCACCACGGTGTATGCTTTAGATTTTTAGAAGTACTGCGGAGCTGCCTTCCAAACAAAACTTTGTCAACATGGGACGGAAATGAATGAATGATTGATCCTCGTCATCGTTGGCTATCCCAGGATGAATCACACACTTTCTCTGAGAATGGCCTGTTGGTGGTTTTGCCTGTGTGGTCTGCAGCAGACATTTAGATGCACACACATTCTTAGTACAGGTCCTGTCATAGTCTTCCTCCATTTGCTGGTCACTAGGACATGTTTTTGTCAGCATTTCTGTCTTTTTTTTCTTAAGATTTCCATGTGTGAGGCTTGGTTAAGAAGGACTTCCTTTAACCAAGAGGTTACAGATCTTCCGTTTCATTTTCTTCACCCTTCCTGAATTTGTTTGTAGAGAGCCCACGTGCAGCAGTGGGCGAAGCTTTCTTCTCCCCGATGTAAAGCGGCACTCTGGTTATAGTTTCATATGTGGGGCTCTTCTGGGCTGGTTTGGTTATACCGTGCTCACTGATACCGACCTGTAACGACCATCGATGTATACAGTGTATCTCATTACTGCTGGTGAGAGTCCCTGCTCTTTTCTCCATTACATTTTCTCCCTGTCTTCTGCGTTTCTCTCATGCACGAATGTTAGAATCCACTTGTCACAGTCCACAAAAGGAAACTCACCCTGCTGCTTGGACTGGGCTGACACAGGCTCTGTAGAAGAGAGAACAGGCATCTTCAGAAGTCCTCACAGGCATCTTGGGGGTGGGGGGGAGTTCCCAGTGCCCCCAGGATGTGGGACATGATCACAAAGAGCCCGCCCGCAACGCTGGGTGGCCAGTGGAGTGAGCACAGCTCTCTTTGGTGGCGCAGCTGCACGCTTGGCACTCACGCACACACTCAGACGAGCACACGCACACACGTGCTCTCTTGTCGGGGTCTGTCAACAGGCAGAAGAAGCCTTGGCAGCTGCCTGCACCTGTTTGGGCTCGCCTCTGTCCTTTCTCCCTGTGGAGTTATAAACAAACCTCCAGGCAGTTCCAGAGGCGGTACGCATGGCTCAAATGTTAGGAACAAACCCGCTTTTACTGTCGATGCACAGAATTTGGTTTCTGCCCGAGTTACCCCACCGGCGCTTGGCACACAGAAGAACGGCTTTGCAGTGCCGACACCGATGCCTTGGCGTCTCTCCAGTGGCCTGAGGCGCGGACTCCTTTTCTACTGGCGTCACTGGGTTTCTGGGCACCAGGCGCTTGGGGTCAGTGATCTATCAGGAGCCGGGATTGCTACTAGGAACCTCTTGTTCGGTGATTTCTGAAAAGTTTACAAGGCTGAAAGCACATGCACCGCTTACATGTGAGTGTGTTAGATCCAAGGACAAGATTGGAGACGGGCATGGCCAGGAGTGTGTGCAGGGCGGAGCTGGGGAGCGAGATGAGGTAGGACTCACACTGCACATCCAGGAGGTACCGCAGGGCTGCCCGCTTGGGTCCAGGACCGCCCACAGGCACCTCCTGTGTGACCCGATGTATGCCCTCCTCCAGCCCTCTCACACTGATCCAGGTCCTCAGATGGCCCAGAACACAGGGTGCGTCCTGCCGCTACTGCCAGTGTGTCTCTTGGCACTGCCCACCCCGACCCCGTTCTCAGGTCACCTCCAGGGCCCCAGGCAATTGAGTAACTGTCCACACCCTTCAATCAAGGAGAAACGTTTAGATTTGGAAGGTAACCAAATCTTAGAACTATTGCCTTTCCCCCCATGTGCTCTGTTCATGGCTATTTATAGCACATATAAATACACGTGTGGGAATACCCTGTCAGCCTGTGATGTATTTGTGCTTATAGTCCCGCTCTTCTCACGCCTGTTCGGCTCGTGTGTCCATCCATGTGTCCACTCATAACTGGTCAGCACTGTCGGCGTGTACGTACAACATCACGTAGCTCTGATGCCTTTCACACTGTATTCGCAATGTCTTCCTTTGCTAAGACCTCCCGCCACCCAAATGACGTGTGTCTACCCTCTGGTTTAAATGATAACCTTGAAATGCATGCCGGCTGGGATGAGCCTGTGCGGTCTAGGAGGTGGAAAAGTTTGGCTGTACGTGGTGATGGCTACTCCACATTCCAGTTTACCTCCAGGGGCAAGGGCGTCCCCACGCATGTTAGAGTAGAAGTGTGTCGCTCAGGATGTTGGTGACGGGTGTTTTGGGAGTAAATTTTCAGGCCTTTCTTCTGAGGTGTCTCTGGTTGAGCACAAGCCTCCAGTCATTTTATTATCGAATGTGTTCACTGTTCCTCGTGTTATTGGATTGTATACTTATAATGCGTCAAAATGGACCAACTTCCACCTGTGCTTTACATCCCAGAAGCAGGCAGACTGGAGCAGCTGACCACTGTCTCCCCGAGTAGCCTCTCCTGCTGGACACAACCTGCTCTTTACATGGTGTTTGTTCAGTGCCCTTGGGCACTTGGGGAGATGGTACTGGCAGACAGTTAGTTAGCAATGAACTGGGGACTCCCTGGTAAGCCTCAGAGAAAAAGTCCCACCAGGAAAAAATCCGTCTGCACAAGGCTGCTGAGTAGCAAGAAGCAATTTACTTCCGATTTTAAACTCAGGATTAGAGACTGAGACGTTTTATTTACTAACTTCCAAACAAAACACAGAACTAACTGGACTGCATTACTAGCAGAAAAGCCGCTCGCCCGCTCTTGGGGTCCAGGAGTGACACCAGCAGAGAGTCCCCGGGCTTCGGGCAGCCTGCACCTTGTCTGCTGCAGCTTTCCTGAAGCAGAGCTGCTGCGGGTTCTCCGTGCGTCTCTACTCAGGGAGTTGCAGGTCCGTGGTTCCGTTAGAGAAGCTGTGGTGAGGGTCTGGAGGTCTGTGGAAATGACGCGCTGGTCTTGCATTTTGTGTTCCAGAACTACACACAGTACATCCCGCTGTCCATATACGACCTGCAGACCTGGATGGGCAGCCCGTCCATATTTGTCTACGACTGTTCCAACGCTGGCCTCATTGTGAAGTCCTTCAAGCAGTTTGCGCTCCAGCGGGAGCAGGAGCTGGAGGTGAGCTGGTGGGACAAGGGTGGGCAGCATCCTCAGGTTCTCATCCCTGGAAGACAGGCGTGCTCGTGCTGAGTTTGAGGACAAAGTGCCAGGCAGGTATTGCTTTGTGTCATCTGCTCCGTGTTGGGGCGTTGCTAGAGTTGATGTGTACCGGCGGTCTCCACCTCTGAAGTTCAGTGTCATAGTAAAGCAAGTGCACTGATTAGCGGAGACATGGACCAACTTCTGGTCACCGTCTTCAGCTCCCTCCTGTCAGCATCTTGCTTGTCATCCCAGGGTCTTTCTTCTGTTCTGTTAAAAAGAACCTGACTGAAGCCTAGTGATGGAAAGCAAGCAAAGACAGTTGCCGCTGGTAGCTTCTGCGTGGAGTGGGAGAGGCTGTGTCTTGCACGGATAATGAAGAGATAGTCTACCTGGTTGTTTTAATTAATATTTGATGTTTGCATTAGACAGTGAACTCCAAAAAGAAATTGGAGAGGCAGTTTCAATTATGAGGCCTCCACCTTGTGCCTGAACAGGAGTGTCAGAATAAAGCATTCTGCCGCCTCGAGGGGACCATGAATTCCAGTTGGTTGGCAATGAAGGAAATTTCCATCCAGGAACAAAACATTGCCCCATACCTGTTTCCTCGAGCCTTGGGATAGATTCCATCTTAATGTGTTGCCATATTTCCCCCATTTCATCAGAGTCTATTGCTGAAAAACCCAACAGTAAAATTGGAAATTAGAGTTGGTAGAATTTTAAATGAACGTTTCTGGAGGTCAGTGTTTTGTTTCTAAATTGAGTCCTTATGCAAAGCATTGTCTCCGAGTGACAGACAAAAATGACTCTGATCCTTGGAAAGAAAACCAAGCGCCCGCCACTAGGGACTTTCGTGCGTTGTGTGAGAGGTCAGGTTTTGTGTCAGCTCATTTGTATCCAACTGCTAGCCATTCTCCTGAGGCCTTCTCCTGGGAGAGGGTACCCAGTGAGCACTCAGGGATCCTGGCCCGAAGAGGCAGTTTCCTTTCCTCACAGCAAGTAAGAAGTGTGCTTTCTTCTTTTTCTTCTTTTTTTTTGCATTTATGTTGTGTAAGTGAAAATGCCAGACATGTCTAAGGGTCCTGCCTGTCCTACATTTACATTGACAGTATATAATGAAAATGCCCCATCTGTGCGTTTGAGGGATGAGACGTTCGATACAGCATGTCTCATGTGCGCCAGGAGATGTTTACTCTCCAGCACTTTGCGTATCTGTTCGCTCCGGGTCATGTGTGTTCCCTGTGTGTTACAGGGATGAATCAGCCCAAGACACTGTTCATGTCATCGAAAGCAGCAAAAAGGACTTGCATGCATCATTTTGGGGGAGAAGCATGTTTAATTGACTAACTCAGATCTTGGAGGATATCAAGTGAAAAATATTTTGGGGAGCGGCACATCAAAACCGAGGGAAAGCTCTGCCATATATGTTATAATCAGTCCTATATATTTATATTGATTATTTTATAGTCAGCTCTGGTTTCTACCTGCTCTGTGTTTCGTTTTGTTTTTAACGAACTTTGTAGATAAGTTGTGTGTTTTTCAACCACACTTAACTCTTCCTGGCTTTTGTTTTGCGGGTCTCTGGCTCCCAGTTAGTATGTTAGTGTTGGCTTTAATCATTTTACTCTCTGCCGTAGAGACAGCAGCCTGGCATGGCCTCCTAGATTTGTTCTTTTAGAAAATCTTCCCTCTTTATCATAAGCCAGATTCTTCATCATTTTATTATACGAGGGAACTTCAAACAATTCCATTCTGTTTTCATTCCATTTTCCACAAACTTTTTGAAGTGCGCTCATACGTGGTAATACTGTTTATCGGGTATATGATGACATATGAACAGAAAGAAATTGTCGGCAACTCAGTATACAGTGCTAAAAAAATGGAGAGGATAAAAGATGAGTAAATATAATATGCAGAAGAACGGTGACTTGGACCAGAAAGCCCTTAAGTAACCAACATTAGCACAAATGGGAGCGGCAGGAATTTCCAGAGCTGATCACCAGCTTTCATACCCTCCCCAGCACCGTCCGTGTGCTGGACCCATGAGGCCCCTCAGAGGAACACTAAGGGTGAAGCAAAAGACGACGTCAGAAAAGCAAAGCTGAAAAGGCTACGTGTGCCAAAACCTCATCACCGCCGGGAGAATGTGTACCTACCATTCAGCAGTGTTCTGAAGAGGTTTCGTTCAGTCAGAGTTCTTAGTGGTTTGAAAATTGAGGATAAGCCATTTGAATATGTTATAAGAGAAAAGCGTTTTCAAACCTCTCAGCTTTCGGTGTTAGACTTTTAAAAGCAAGTATCCTGAGTTCTGGTGCTGTAGGATCAGTACAAGGTCGGTAGTTCAAACCCACCGGCTGCACCTTGGTAACCCTAGACAGGGTCGCTGTAAGTCGGAACCGACTTAATAACAACAAACATCATTACAAATTAGAATGTCGTTGTTAAGTGCCATGGAGTTGGTTCCGACTCACAGCGACCGTGTCTGGGGTTTCTGTGGTTATAAGTCTTCGTGGGAGCAGAAGGCCTTCATGTTTCTCACGTCAGCTTAATGTATGACACAGTTAAAAACTGTCCGTCATACAGCAGCCCACCTCCCAGTGAGAATGCTGCAGCCGTCCAGACGCCTGCAGCTCATAGTGACTCTGCATCCCAACAGACAGCCTCGTACATCTCCATAGGGACAGGCAAGCTCATCCTTCTCTCACACAGTAGATGGTGGGTTTGAACCGCCAACCTTGCAGTTAGCAGCCCAATACTTAACCTACAGCACCACCAGGGCCCCTTGTGTTCCATGAAAATCCCTGTCTCGGTTCTCTAGTGCTGCTCTAACAGAAAATCTACAAGTGGATGCCTTCATAACCAGAAATGAATTTTCTCACAGTTTGGGGGACTAGAAGTCTGAATTGAGAGCGCTGGCTCTGGGGGAAGGGCCCTCTCTCCTGTGTGGATCTGGGAGCTTCCCAGTGCAGGGACCCAGGTCCATAGGGTGCACTGCACTCCGGGTTCTTCTTTCGTGGTGGTGGTGGTGGCGGCTGTGTAGGTTTCCAAGGAGTGGCTGGTGAGTTTGAACCACTGACTATGTGGTTCATACCAGACTTGCAGACACTGGTAGCAGGTCCCTTTCTCTCTGTTCATGGCTCTCCTTTAATGTTTCACAGGAGATTGCCTCAAGCTCCCCTCTAGTCCTGTAGATGGCTTCCTGCCTCATTGACATCCTAGAGGTGAGGAGAGACAGTGCAGTCTGTCATGATTGATCACGTCAAATCCCCCCATGGGCTGATTGTCTCATATTCCCCTCATCAGGAGGGACAGCTACGTCTTAACCGCTAAGCTGCTGAGACCCTGGCCCAGTCTAGAGTACATAGACCCTAACTATCATGTGGCGCTGTGGGCTAATGCATCAGACTGCAGAGTCATTTGAACTGCAAGGTTGGTGGTTCAAGCTCATCAGCTGCTCCTTGGAAATACTATTCAGGGTCGCTATGGGTCAGAACTGACTCAACGGCACTTAACAACAACATCACAGGATAGGTCCACAGAACGACCACAGTCCTAAGTCTTCTTGTGTGGATCACTGTGTCTGCACATGGTATGTTTATTCTGAGTCTCTAACTTTAGGTTACCTTTCTCCTGTTCCTTACTCTTCTTCTGCCACTGTTGCACCAGGTGGGTAAAGACCAATTTTTGTACAAATATTCTTAAGTTGCCATTTCTAGTTTTATCAATTCTGGATGGGCTCTCCTAACCCCTTGTTAGTAAGATTAGGTTCTGAGCTTACTTGCACTTTCTTGGCCTCCGCATTCCCACTCCCATCCTCGACACTTCCACTTGTACACCTCTGTCTGACATGAGCCAGTCTTCCACGCTTTGTACGTGGGCTGATTTTAACTCAGACGCACATCAGCCCTCACTGCCTTGATTCTGACTGTGTGAACGTTGTGCATCAGATGGCTTATAGGGAAGTGCGATTTCCATTTTATAGCAGTTTTGTGAGTTGTTTGTTTGCGTATCCTGGACATTGTTTTACCTTCCCTCACTTTCCAGTTCTCAAACATAGCTTCCGGTCACTGGATACGCCCTTTTCCCAGAGTGCTTCCTTCCAGCTCTCCATGTGGTAGTTGGCAGCTGTCATCCTGGGAGGTGTCCACTGTCTGATCCCCAACCCTCACCCTTTTGCCTATGTTCTGTTCGAGCATATCCTCAAGGAATGTCCTGAGAAAGGCTGTATGAATGTTGTATTTCTCAGACCTCAACTGCTGGTGTTCAAAACACTGTCAGCTGTGAGTCATGGGAAATCTCACTGTTGATGGTCAGACCTCTCTCAGTAATGAAGACCCCCACGTCAGTGCCGTCAGGGACCCAGGCTATCTTTCTCTTGCCCATCTGGTAACCCTGCGTGCTATGTCAGCATCTCATCTGTCTTTGAGCAGGACCAGGTGGCCGCGGGGCAGTGCTAGCTAAGTCTATCTCTCCTACCAGGAAAGATGAGGCTTCCCAAGAGCAGCCCCGCACACGCTGCTGTGGATGTCGTTGCTAGGACTGGGTCACATGGCCATCAGCTATAGTGGGAGGGGCGAGAGGAAGTAAGTCCTGGGATGGCACTGTGGGATGAGGCACTGGACCTCAGGGTCAGTTTGAACCACAAGGTTGGCGGTCCAAACTCCCCAGCCACTCCTTGGAAACTCTACAGGGTCTGTGTGAGTTGGAACGGACTCAACGGCACTACACAACGGCACCTGAAGCTGTGGGGTGGCACTGCAGCATAAGCACTTAACTTCAAACCTCAAGGTCAGTGGTTCAAACTCACCAGCTGCTCCTCAGAAACCCTGTGCAGGCTCACTATGAGGTGAAACCAAATCAGTGGTACTTCACAGTATCCACAATGGGTTATCTGACGCCAGCAGCCACATCGCACATTCGATGTCTTCTTTCTGCCCATGTGCGTGATTGTCACTAAACAGCTGCCCTTCTTACTGCTT